GGTTTTGAATACAACCATCAGGGACGTAGCAAAGCATCTGACGTTTGGGGGGGGGGGGTGTCAGAGGATTATACGTGTAATAATTACAATAAAGCTTTTTGTGATTGATTGGCACTCTCATAGTAAGTTTTGGGAGAAAAGGGAGGTCTAGGGGTCCTCCCCCAGAAAATTTTTACATTTTTGAAGCTCTAGGACTGAATTTCTGGCGTTTTCTAAAGCAAATTTCGCAAACAAATTGCATGTAAATTGACTGTATTTCACAAAAATGGTTATCATTTCACAAAAATAATTACTTTATTACGCAAATTTTACCTGAAAATGTAAAAATTTTAACTTTAATTTGCTGGGGTCAAACCTTTGAAAAGTTTAGAGCCCCCTCCCCCTTCATTATATCAAGAACTTTCAGAGCCCCTCCTTTAATGCCAGAAAATATTTCAGAGCCCCCCCTTAACATCTTCATCCCCCCTCGGCATAATAAATGTAGTTTCCCTTATTAACTTTATATAAATTCTTAGTAATATATTGTTAAATGTTGTTAACATTTATATTTATTATGTTACATTTCATAACATTGTAAATTTTTGTAAATTATTATACATTGTGTATATTACAATATTAAATGTTCATTACATAGTTAAAAAATTCATAATTACACTGATTGTGTGTTGCTATTTGTTATTTTCTTTTTTGAGTATTCATTAAGATTTAATAAACATTGCATCATTCAACATTATGATATAATTAATAATTCTTTGTGATGAAAATTTTCAAACATGCTATGTGCATTACGTCACTTGTCTTAGACATGATTAATCCATTTGTAAAACATAAGACAGCCCTACATAAAGACTGTTTTCACTCAATTGATAATTGCTTTCTTACTTAATTGTTTTGAACAAAAGCTTGTTAACTGTTAACATTACCACAACTTCGAACATGACATAATTGCCAAGGCACTTGGCCTTCCTGATTAAAATAATCATTGAGATAATTTCTTGCTTTACTAGCATTGAACTTGTATCTGTTTCCTGCCAATCTTCCCAAATTTCTCAATCCTCCATCGTTTTCCACAACTTCTCTCCAGTCACCCTGAACTATGTTACCAGCCGAGTCTTCACTATCAATGAACTTCTCTGGAATGTAGGCTGCATTATCTGTTAACTGTAGATAGTTATGCAGACATACTGTGGCTCTGGTAATGTTCTCTACTAAATTAACACTGCCTCGTATTGGCCTTCCAAAAATACGCCATTTTGCTGCCAGAATACCAAAAGCATTCTCTATAGTTCTTCGTGCCCTGGATAATCTATAATTAAATACTCTTTCTGGCTCAGTTAAATTCTTGCCCGGGTATGGTTTCATTAACCATTCTTTTAAAGGAAATATATCATCTCCAACTAACACGTAAGGTGTCTACCTTGTACCAACTTTGACTGGCTGAGGTAAATTTAGGTGTACTGCATCAGATTCAAAAGCTTGACCGAAGGCAGAATCTGTCAGAACTCCAGCGTCATTTTCTCGTCCATATGCCCCAATGTCAATCAAGGTAAAACAATATTTAGCATCACACGTCGCCAATAGTACAATACTATGGAAGTTTTTGTAGTTGAAGAACGCTGATCCTGCATTACGAGGGCATTCCATTGCGATATGCTTCCCATCTAATGCACCAATACAATGCGGAAAGTTCCATTCTCTTTCAAATTCATCAGCAATATTAGTCCATTGTTCTTCAGTGCTTGGTGATTTAAGGTAATCCTGATTTAGTGCGGTCCACAAAGCGTTGCAAGTTTCTTTCACAATATTCGATACAGTAGAACGCCCAATTCTGAAATAAAATGCGTGACTTTGTTGGGAGTCACCCGTGGCAAGATAGCGTAAGGTAACTGCAAGACGCTCGGAAGGTGATATTGGTTTACGTGATTTGCAGTGCTTTTTCGCAATGAGTGGTCCAACAAGTGATAACAGATGGTCAAAACGGTCCGGTGACATACGTAAGAATCTGAAATTTACACCAAATAAGTATGGAATTTTTTACTACGTAAACAATACCTTAGAAAATCGAAAATTATTGTAAAAGATAAAAGTACGAACCTGAAGAAGTATTCTCTGTCGTGCAGACGAAGTTCTAGGACTAGTCTATGGTACGCACCAAGCTCTTCTCGCTTCTGAAACATTTCTCTGACCCAGAAGCGGTGTTTTTTTCTTTTTCTTTGTTGTCGCCTTATCGCAAGGAGTATAAACAAATTTAATTGAAGAAGAAACTCCCTGTTAAGGGCCGCCATTTTGTTTTTCGCGCCGTTAAGAAGACCGTCGAAAGACTGCCAGCGACACTGTCGTTTTCTGTTTCACTCAGTCGTTATCGGTCTTTCAAGATTACTCCAAGGACCCCGAAAGACAGGTAACGACAGCTAACGACCTAATGGAAACTAGGCTTTAATAAGTTCAAAATATTTTTTTGATTCAGTGCAATAATTTCGAAGATACAGAGCTCTAAACTACCTACAGTTCCTGAGTCCCAGGCTCCTATGCACAATGGACCGTTTGGAAAAAGGCCAAATTCAATAGCCGTGTTTAGAGCCCAGGAGGATGGAACTCAGAAACAGTCCGTTGTTTAAAGGCCTATATCCTCAAAACTATTGCACTAAATCAAAAACTCCTCTGACCTTATTAACTAACTTTTTACGCTCTTTTCAAATCAATTAAGATCCCACAAGTGATATAGGCACTTTAAGATGTTTAATGATGATTATTTGTTATTTCTAATGATTATTTGTTTGTTATTTTATTTATTGTTAGGTTTTTTTGTTATTCTAGTTATATGTCTTGTAGAGTTGTTAATGTTTTTTTTCATATGAACAGTCGGGACGCCCCTGCCCCCCTGAAACCAGCTTCTATTGATGGGGCCATAGTGTCTTTAATAAAGTTTTAAATACGCAATACACCGTTAAGTAGCTAGTAGATTAATCAAACTATATATTATATAGTATTATATGACAATTTAATGACGTGTGCTTTTACCAAATAAGGTCACGAGAACACGAAAAATCTGGAAGCGGATTACAGAGTTCGAAATTGAAGTTCCCCTTGTATTTTTCAGGTAGTTGCATCGCTACAACGAAAGCTTGTTAATTACACGGTAAAAAGCCGTATTTCCCTCGTCTACATATGTTTAGGACGAAGCAAAATCCGATTTTTGAATAAAAAACACACTACGGAAACACACTAGGTCAAAGGCGCCCATTGCATGACTCGAGTATAAAACGGTAGAAGATGTAAAAGAGTAAACCAGCAAACTTGCGAGCAATTTGAGGTGTTTATTTTTTAATTTGATGAGCAAAACAGGAGCAAGAATGCTATAAACAAAAGCTCAACCTTCTAAATGCAGTTCAAAAACTAGTGTTTCAAAGAAAACAAATCACGAAAACTTACTTGAACATTTTTGAAGTAATTGGAAAGTTTGCAGAATCGTCAATTTGAATAGCATTTTCGAAATTCTTGGTTCTTGAAAATTTTGAAGCAAATTTTGAAAGATGTTACTATCAACACTCCAAACGACGTGTAATTTTAAAGACGCGACATCAAAAAACAAAACATCGCATTCACGAAAATACTGTATATTGCAGATCATCACTTGGATTAATATTTCGCAGAATACCCCTCGCTCCGGGTCTATGAATGATACATTGGAAATGTTTTTCAAAATCCCTACTATGGAAATAGTATATGGAACTTAGTTGAAAATAGTATGAAAATAGTATGGATTTAGTGATGCAATCGCAATTTTTTCCAGCGATAAATGCCATCACAATGCTTATCTTAACAAAAACATTAATTAAGGACAATTATAATGTATTTTGAAGATGATAATATGAATTAACGACTAAAGTGTTCGAAGTTCATTGCCCAAAGCATCTGTTACTTTCTTAATAATTTTACAAAACGGTTAAGGTAATTCCGCAGTTTTGCATTGCGCTCTTTTACTGCGCACATTTTATAACTTATAATTTCATCCATTATACGTAAACACCGCGGAAAAACGTCTGCGCATGCGTGGGAACAAAAAAGATGACGAGGAATTTAAATGCAAAACTATAAACAAAAACATGGCTATTTAATTATATAAGATAATTGAAACAAACAAAAAATACACTAGAAGAGTAGTTTAGACATTAATAAAAAGTTTTCTAACATTTAAAATCTAAACAGAAACAGAATTTAAATAAAAAATATCATGCTACGCAAAAAAAGTTATCGACAAAAATGTGGATCATATGAACCTACAAAAATATCTTTGTATTGTTCAGTTAAAGAACGTTTTATACAATAAATTTATCGACAGTCACCTTTGGTTTATTTTCTTGCATAATACTACTTCTTGCACATGTAGACTCTAATTATTTCTAGTTTTTGGGTTGTCACGTTCATTATTCCGCTTGCATTTTTATACAAAAGGCAAAACATCGACACGTTCCCAATACAGATTTCAGTAATGTTGACGCATGCGCAGACGTTTTTCTGCGGTGTTTTATACGTACCGTTTAAAAAAAATCATTTTATGACAATTTTATGTTACTTCAAAACATCTTTGGTTACAGTCGTGCAAAGAATTACGTTAAAATCAATGTTTTCAAAAAAGGCACACAAAAGTGTAGCTAGGGTTCCCTGTGTCTGTAGTATATTTATTTACTTGTATTTCACGTTTTAATGCCACAATTCCCTAAAAAGGTCGGTGACCACCGTTTTTTAGCTGATAATTTATTTCTTTAATGCATTTTACATTTCATATCCGAAATTAAAAGAAAAATCATTTCTGGATCTTGAAAAAAAATCCTTTATCAATGAATGTTCTCAAAGAAAGATATGTAAAGAAATGTGGAAAAGACATTTGTGGATCAGAATTGTACACAATATTTTTTCAAAAATAATTACAAGATAGGTTTACTAAAGCAAAATCCGCGCTAAAAACGTCAATAAATATCGGGCTGTTGTGATTTTGATGTTACTCGTAATGAGCGCCATCTTGGCGCCATATTGTGGTAAAGGTGGTATATTGTGATTGTCATATCGTCTATACTTTTTTGTGTGATTAAGAGTAAAGATTATCAATTGGATTTTAATATTAAAATATTCTGCCGAATACCCCTCGCTCCTGGTCTATATGAATGAAACATTAAAAATGTATTTAAAAATCCTTACTCTCGAAATAGTAAGGATTTAGTTGAAAATAGAATGGAAATCCAATTATCATACTAAATCCAATTTCCATACTATACGCATATAGTATTCATTTAGTGATGCAACCGCAAATTCTATTGCATGAATTTCACTTTCTTCCAGTGATAAATGCCATCATAATGCTTTATTTAACAACAAAGATTTTTAGATTGAATTAAGGACGATGTATTTTGAAGATGATATTATGAATTAACAATTACAGTGTTCGAAGTTCATTGCCCAAAGCATCTATTAGGCCCGTTTCATACGCCGTACTTCACATGTGCCGAATACATTAAAGACAATAGATAATGAGCTGAAATTCCTCATTACCTATTGTTTTTAATGTATTCGGCACATGTGAAGTACGGCGTATGAAACGGGCCTTACTTTCTTAATAATTTAACGAAACGGTTAAGTTGCCTGAATTAACAATAGGGACTTTAGCTAGCAGGACGGCGACAGCAATTAATACAATGAAATTTATGACAGTGTAGAAAGAAAATGCATAATTAACGTCCCACGGGAGTTTTAGACGTCGTCCTCGCTCTGTTTACAACAGAAAACCAAAGATTTTCACGTTTTGTACACAACGTCTGCCTTTCAAGCCGCGAGAAGTCGTCCTCGCTAAGTTGGCTTGGTAGAAGTCTTCTCAACTATAAACCTCTGTCTTAACCTTCTTAAATTGCAATAAATTCATACAACGGTTAATACAAGACATGTTGATCTTAAAGTTACTTATTCGAACAAGTTTACTTCGGCCGTCGTCGTCGCGTTGCCGTCACCTATTTGCTAAAGGTCCCTAATTAGTCGCCGAAGGCGAGGTGATTACAAGCCTAATAATATACATCAAAGGAAATTTCCATACTATATGGATATAGTATGGATTTAGTGATCAATCGCAAATTTCATAGCATGAATTTCACTTTTTTTCCAGTGATAAATGCCATCACAATGCATTCCTTAACAACAAAGATTTTTAGATTGAATTAAGGAAAATGTATTTTGAAGATCATATTAAAATGAATTATAACAAATGAAGTGTTCGAAGTTCACTGCCCAAAGCGTCTGTTACTTTCTTAATAATCTTACAAAACGGTAAAGTGACGTGAATGCTAAATAGAAATCAAGCGTTCGCGAAAAATATAGCTATTATATCAACAAAATTTACGGAAATTTCTTTGAAACTTCGAATTTGATATAACGATCTAGCCAAATATTTACATGAATAAACTATTGTTATAAGGAATACAAAAATAGTTTAATTACAGTCAGACAACTTGTTTATAAAATACAATAAACAGAAATTGAACGAATCGGTAGTCAAACTATTTTTTCAATGATGAACGATATCAAATCCGCCTAAGAAATCTTGAAGAGGATGGGAAAGACCCGCCTAAGAAATCACCCGCCCAAGAAATCTTGAAGAGGATGGAAAAGAAGTCCTATGGCTCTTACTTAAACCGCCCAGAACCCCCAGGCCCTATAGTGCGATGATAGTTATTGGTGTGTACTACCCACCTGGACAGACAATTGAAGATGAAAGAGCAATGTACGAGTATGTTACTAACGGACTTGACAACATTTTGCAGGACCACCCTTCAGCTGGCGTAATTATCGCCGGAGATTTCAACAAAATGAGACTGAACCCACTATGTAGACGTTTCAACCTTAAAAAAACCGTACGGGCTCCTACAAGAGGTAGAAATATTCTAGACCAAATCCTTACCAATATGCCAGAGCCATACAATGATGTTCAACATCTGCCACCGATCGGCCGTTCCGACCACCAGTGCTTACTGCTCACCCCAAAGTTGAAACAAAAGGTTAAACCGGTCTCCCGAAAAGTGCGCCTGACGAAATGTAGTAACCTAATCGAACTGGGCATACATATGAATAGAGAGAACTGGGAAACAGTCTACGATGCCAGAGAGGTTGACGACAAATTAAGTGCGTTCACTTGTACTATCGTGCGCATGCTTGATAAATCGCTGCCTAAGCGCACTGTACGTGCCCACCCCTCCGACAAGCCGTGGATGACACCGCGTATAAAGCATGAAATAAAAGCTAGGCAAAAGGCGTTTAAATCTGGAGATATAACAAGGTACAAACTATTATGTGACAAAGTTACCTCACTTGTATCAAATGCGAAAAAGAATTACTATCAACTAAAAGCAGAGGGTACACGCGAAACGAATCCGGCAAAGTGGTACAAAACCATATTTGATCTTGCTGCCGCTAATGACTGTAACTCTCAACCACCAGCTGATGCAGAAGACTTAGCGGAACGCCTGCAACAAAGCTTCACCAAACCATGGCAGAATGCCAACCCCACTGAAATTCCGGACGTTGGGGAAATTGAACACCTACTTAAGAATGATACCAGTCCCCCGTTGCCTTCCATCGGACAAATTAAGGCTACCCTTAAACATCTAAAACCCAGGAAGGCCACTGGCTCAGATGAGATCCCTCCATGGTTACTGAAACGTTACCATGAAGAACTTGCCCCTGTTATTCATAACATCATATGCTCTAGCATCTCCCAGGCTAAATACCCAACCCTATATAAACATGCATTGGTCACCCCAGTGCCTAAAATATACCCTCCTAATGACATGGATAATGATTTTCGCCAAATCTCAGTATTACCGCAATTGGCTAAAGTCTTAGAAAGCATCCAACTTAAATTAAACAAAGGGGACCTTAAGATCAAGGACAATCAACATGCATTTACACACGGTAGATCAACTGTATCTGCACTGGCGAGCATCATCAAGACTGAAAACTCATGTGATGGAAGAATGGGTATCCACGCCTTATTTATTGACTTTTGCAAAGCATTTGATCTGGTGGACCACGGATTGCTTTTAAAGAAGCTCGCCAAAATGAACGTGTCGAAAAGCTTCTGGCTATGGACACGGAGCTTTCTAGAAGGGAGGAGTCAGCAAGTAAAATTACAAGGTGCTCTGTCATCTATAAGGCCTTGCCCTTCCGGAGTCCCCCAGGGATCTGTTATATCACCAACATTGTTTAATGTTCATGTGGATGACCTCGAAGACTGCATTCCCAGTTATCTGGACATCAATACGCACAAATGCGCAGATGACTGCACTCAAGATGAAGTGATTCCATACGGTTCTACTAGCAACATGCAAGAGGTGCTCGATGCAATAAACGACTGGGCACATAGAAACAAGATGAAACTTAACGCGAAAAAGACGAAAGACATGTGGATCTGCTTTAAAGCTGCAATTCAAGAACCACCACATCTTAAAATTGGCGATGATACAATTGAAAGAGTAAAGTCATTCAAGTTGCTAGGTCTTTGGATTGACAATACCCTTAAATGGAACACCCACATTGACGAAATTGCAAGGAGGGCAAACAAACGCTTATTCTACCTACGAGTGTCGTCGAGCAGATCTACCAACTAATGTGGGTTTGACGTGCTATGAATCCAAATTAAGACCGGTTTTGGAATATGCTGCCCCAATTTGGGGTGGCCTGCCACAATACCTTACTGACGAACTGGAAAGTATCCAGAATAGAAGCCTGAAAATTTTGGGTCTACCTCCTGATTCTCTTCAATCTCTAGAACAACGTCGGGATAAACTTTCAATTCGCGAGTACGAGAAAATCATTAATGACGAAACACACCCATGCAGGAAGTACATACCAGACATGGTGACGAACAAGTATGACCTGAGAACACCAAAAACTCTTCCCGGAATTTTCTCATACACTAAAAGGCATGAACTATCGTTCATTCCCAGAACAAACTCATTATTATAGACAATATTTTTATAACTATTTCTACAATTTTTATCTGTACATATAACTACTACACTACTACTCAGATTTTTACTGTAAATCCATTGTATTTTTACACTAAAGATGGATCAATAAAACTATTATTATTAAATAAGCATAGCAGAGACATTTTAATTTCGGAAAACGTATAAATTAACACAGCATGTTCAAACAGGGCATGTTTCGATGACAGGCGCTTCAAATGGAATGTCAATGGCTATAACTAATATATGTAAAGAAATATATGTATAAAAATCACTAACAAACGCGAAACACCTACAAATCTTGATGACATGTATAAATCGCATAAGCATTGTAAATTTAATTTTGTGGAGTTTCGAAATTTCATGTATGACATTGGATCGCAAGCTCTTGACTCATAAAACGCAACACATTAAAAGCACTGAATTATCCGGGAAGTAAATTAATATATCCAATTATTGCTAACAAAACCAACGTTCAAAGGATAAAATGACTCGACTCGTAAAATGCCTACATTAAAACCACTGATAAAGCGCCAATTATACCGCATGCTCTTATGAATAAATATCCCTTAGCATTCTCAAAAAAATACCAAAATCTTTCAACTTGGTAACTATAGCCATATAGAAAAAGATAAATCCAGAAGCGTTTTGGATTTAGTTAATCAACATTCTTGTTCTACACAATTAACTTTCTGCATAAAGCTTCAACTACAAAAGATATTAAAATCAAACATTCCGATGAAGATAAGTTTGATAAACAAGTCTAACTAGAAAATACATGCATGCAGAAACCCTCGCCTTGCTGACAAAACCATTCTATTTTCGGAACATAAAGTATCTGAAGTAGTTGGCATGGTAACACGATAATTTTTAAGAATATTCTCACAAATGAAAAATCGCTATAAAAAATATCACTTTTAATTACAAAATTATTAATTTCCCAACATATATATGTTAGGTATGTTATTATACGTAATATAAGCCTCAATTTAAGGTAAAATTCAACCACAAACGCTTCGCAAAACGTTTTAAAGTCACTAGTGTTCTTTGTATAAAAACTATAAAACTACCTTTTAAAATGGCTTTATCGATAAACTTTGAGTTTGCAATAAAATGATTTCAAATTCTCGCTTGTAAATAACTCTGCCGTCTGTTTTATTTAAAAATCTCAATGTCATAAAAAAGGGAATCTTACTAAAGATGCACTGAAATTATATGCTGTCTTGTTTAGTTCTTTCATATACGCAAAGGCCGTCAGGTTTTAAATTAAAGCCATTATAAAATCAATATTTAAAACAAACTTACCTTCGTTAACGTCGGCTCACTTCTTTTAGCCGATTCTTTCGCCCTTTCTTTCTTGAAATTTACAAAATCTTGCAAAAAAGCCAACAAAAATGAAATATATTTGCAAGAAATTTATCAATCATCAAGTCAAGAAATATTTGCTATTTCGCTGTCGTCATGCAGTCGTTATAATGCAAACTTTAAATTGGACCAATCAGTTTTCGCTATTCATGACAGTCCGCCACATATTTTGAGATCAGTGAGGATGACCACCCACCGAAACATCGTTGGTGAGCCACGCCCGCGATATTTGATGAACTTTAGACTTCGCTAATGCTTTCGTTTCCCCGGGTGTAAATAGCCGGGGGGAATTAATACCCTCGCACGGCGCTTCGCGCCGTCGGCTCGGGGAAAATACAAATGACTACACGTCTACAAACCATACAAAAAGGGCTCGGCTACTGTTAAAGTTTCATTCGTGTACAGACTTCACAGAGAACACATCAAGAACGCATCAAAAGTCAACAAATATGGCAGATAATTGGGAAGACGTGGCCGAGTACCTACTACGAAATAGAAGATTACGAGAAATGGTCGATGACGTTTTGAATTCATTGGATGAAATTGGTCCGGACTGCCGTTTTACTACAGGTAAGCCTGTTTTAATTTTTCCCTTTTCTCCATCAGTTAGAGTAATATACTGACTACTGTTCACCGGTGGTTTTTATTATGTTAAAACGAGTTATCAACGCTAAAATTTTAAAAAGCGAAGCGAGCAAATTGTTGCACACGTCCATTGAATATATAGCCGAAGTGTTATTTTTCTGAAAACGCCATAGATATCATTGACAGAACTAAACGGAACCTGCTAAACGTGGTCTTCTTTACTGGTAGCAACAAAATAGTTAAACACGTCCTTTTGACTGATTTCTTTATAGATGAGAATCGAAAACATGAAAAGAGAAATAAAAACAAGAGAGGAATTACAAAACCTGATCTGATACAAAAGCAACGCTTGCTAAAAGAGTACCAAATGACAAAGTACCTTACGCAGGAGAGGAAGAAAGAACTGGCCAGAGAATTAAATCTGTCGCAAGTCACCGTCAAAGTAAGTTCTCATCCTTAAGATATCTCAATGCATTTAAATCTAGAAGAATAACCGACGAAAAGTAAAGATACTTATACTCTGCATGCATGCATGCATGGTTCTATGATTTATTTCCGAAGTCGCTATAGGTTCGGCAATTTCCGAGGGATATTAAAGGATATTCTTAGGATATAATTATAGGGTTAAATTATTTTAGGGTTAGGGTTATATTTGTAGATCAAAACAGCCGGACCTATATAGCAACGGCCATTTAATTTCCCAGCGGCTTAATAAATCATCTTTTGTATTTTCTCTTTACAGAATTGGTTTCAAAATCGGCGAAGGAGAGAAGCACTTCTTAAAAGAAATAAAACGGTCAATAAAATGCGGCGAATAAGCATACGCAAGAACGATGATGGTGTACCTTGCCTCGTTCCGAGAAATGTTGACATTAAAATATCTGAAGTACTGAAATCGGAAACTAGACAGCTGAACTATCAAAACAATTTGTCCGGCTTTGTTGTCACTCAAGATGAAAATGGTATTTGTTAATTGCACCAACTACAATCGCGTAGAGATAGAATACTCTAAAATGTGTAAATTAGTTGTATATATTTTGTAAATAACGTAATATTCATTATGATAATATAACTCATTGCCTTTAAGCACTGTCTATATATGTTTCCTACAAGATCTCTCAGACATGTTTCGCGCACAATAAGATATAGGGTTAGGACTAGGTTTGTGAGTGGGGTGAAGATAAAGAAAAATTATACATTCGTGCAAGAAACATGAGGATACCCATTTCGATTTCCAAAATTTTATATGCAAGTCATTATATAAACTTGGTTCAAGTCCGTCTCGGGAGAAATGTAGGGAGAGACCGATTGGGATATTTGCAGCATTTCGAATGTAACTTGTAAAAATTGGCGCAAAAATTTGTTGTTTTCAACGTTGCAAATGTCCCAAGTCTGTCTCCGTCTAATTTTCTCTCATATTTTCTCTCATATTTTTCACAGCTCGCGTGTAACGCTATTTTCAACCGATTGACAGACGAACTTGAACCAAGTCTAGACATTATAACATATTTTATAACAAGTGATTGGTCACCTATTTTCAAATTCCGAGTACTTCATATTGGAAAATGTTTGGGAAACTTAGTTTGATTTTTTGGTGTAGAATTTCTATTGCGATTTTATAACAAACGTACTTGCAGGGAGGTGCGTCCAATCCCGGACTCACCGAACCTGCAAGTACGTTTGGTTTTTATCCCATACACCGAGCCATACACACATTTGTAGCTCTTCGCGATATATGCGTCGATGCTTTGTGAACATTTTCCAGGCCAAAAAAATCACTGGGCAAGAAAATACTTCTTTACCTACGTCTACATTACCTTTACTGCATTTTTCTTTGGTTTTTCTTCAGTCTCAGTATGTTAGTCACCGAAAAAAGGTCTTTAAAGTTTAGGTTTATCGGCTAAATCTTGTCCGCCATATTTGTTATTGTTATTGCAACGTAAGCAGTTTAGCCAAAAGGTTTAGCGGGTGAGTTCGGGCGAAAAACAGGTGAGTTCGGCAAAAAGCAGGTGAGCTCGACGACAAGCTCACCTGCTCTAAACCAATCAGAAAGCCGCTTTTAACAAAGGTATGGGATAATATAACAAAAGTACTTGCAGGGAGGTGCGTCCAATCCCGGACTCACCGAACCTGCAAGTACGTTTGGTCTTTATCCCATACACCGAGCCATACACACATTTGTAGCTCTTCGCGATATATGCGTCGATGTTTTGTGAACATTTTCCAGGCCAAAAAAATCACTGGGCAAGAAAATACTTCTTTACCTACGTCTACATTACCTTCACTGCATTTTTCTTTGGTTTTTCTTCAGTCTCAGTATGTTAGTCACCGAAAAAAGGTCTTTAAAGTTTAGGTTTATCGGCTAAATCTTGTCCGCCATA